TGCCTCATTTTGTCACATTGCAGCAAAGACCCTGCTTTACTTTCAGTTTCATTTTTTCAGCATAGCTAGGGGAAAAAAATCTGTTCCTCTCTTTGCAGCTAGCAACAGAGCCCTCTGCAAAACAGTTGAGAGCAAATCAGCTGAGAGTCCGGAGGCTGATCAAATCAATTTATGGTAATTAACCTATGCTGAAGCTCAAAGGGACTGTTTTTTTCTATTTTTGCAGGCACCGGTCTTCTCATTTTTTTTCTTTTAACACTGATCAGCTGTAGGGCGGCCCTTTGAAGCCCCGCGGCAAGAATTTAAATGGTTTGTTTCCCTCTAGCCATCAGCTGGGACTCAGGAGGCAGCAATAGATTGGGAGTGGGCGGGGTAAGCGAACAGCAACCGGCAATCCAACAGAGGCAGAGGGTGAGGGTGAGTGAAGGCATGGGGGGGGTGAGAGAGGGCTTTGGCGACCCCTGTGAAATGGCCGTTCAACCCCCAAAGGGGTCGTGACCCCCAGGTTGAGAACCGCTGCTTTAGAACATTAACATAAAAATCTTTTGCCTTCCAAACTGTGTTTAACTGGTATCTTTCTCCACTATAATTCACTATTAGACCAGTTGGAACATCCTATCTGTACTGCACTTGTTGGTTTCCCAGTTCATTTACCAAAAGGCCAAAGTCCTTTCTGCTTCTTAACATTTTTGGAGGGATCTCTTTCAGAACCACCACTTCTTGTCCAGCCACTTGAACCTTATTTTTGTCGGAACCTTATAAAATATCATTTCTGATCCTCCTGGTTGTGAAATAAATCACCACATCTCTTGGCAACTGTCTTTGTCTTGCCACCCAAGAGTTAACCCTGTAGATTTTATCAATTCGACACCACATCATCTGGACTTTCTTTGATTAGCCCTGCAATTGCTTCTGCACAAATATCCTTTAAGTTTTCCCGGCTAATTTCTTTTAGCCCTCTCAGCCTCAGGGCAAATTCCATAGATCTGTATTGTAACATTACCAGTTCATCATCTACCTTCTCTGTTTTAGTCATAATGTCTCCTACTTTGTTTTCCAAGTTCAGATTGGCTTCATTGATTTCTTCCACTCTCTCATCCACCTGAATAATAAGTTTTGCCAATCCTGAGATTGCAAAAACAATATCATCTCTTATTTCATCATGCTTTACTTCAACAACTTCTTTAATTGACTTTATATCCTCCTCAAATTTCTTTAATTTCCCTTCCACAATTACTGTTACGTTATTCATAGCTGTAGCTTGATTATTCATGGCTTCTTTTATAAATTCTTTGAGTTCATTAAAAGAAGCCTCCTGACTCTGTGACTCAGCCGGAAGTTGTGCTTTCTGTGTCACTACTGACACTACTGGAGAACCTCCTCCACCTCAGAAGCTCCTGGCTTAACTTGTTTAGAAGCCATCTTTTTTTAAAAATCTTTTTTCCTTTCACAGCCACAAAGTCCCTTGAACAGTTTTCAAAAGCTTGTAATTTATAGTCTATAATTTATCAAGCAAAATAGTCTTTTCTCCACAAGCTCTCAATTCCCAGCAGCTTTAATCCACTCTCAAAGTGCAAAGTTCTCAATAAACACTTTCACTTCTAACTTTCACTTTCACACCCATAACAAAGGCGCCATCTTCAGTCTCCAGCTCAAAAAGATTTGATTAGAAACAATGTAAATCCGGAGTTAAGCACTGTTACTTTTAAAGCTTGTTCTCCTGTTTCAGCTCTGCCTGTGCTTGTAATCAATCAAACTCACTTTTGCTTGCAGGATTGGTTGCGGCGTCTGGCTCTGTTTAAAACAGAGTTGTCCCGGATCAGGAGCTTCTTAGTGGGCTGACCGAGGAGCTCTCACCCTCCAAGCCTCTGGAATTATTCCAGAGGGCTTTCGGGGAGCTCTACCCACCAGCTCTCCTCTCCTTCTTCTCCTGATGGAGAGATTTTTCAGCTGCCAGACAGCCGATTAGCGCTGTCAAAGCGGCTTTTACGGAATCACGGAGCTGGCTGTCCGAAAAGACTGTCCACGACGCCTGCGGTCCCAGCCGGAAGTCCCGAGCACCCATAATTTCTAAAAGTAAATTATTCCACTGATTAATTTTTCTTGCTGTCAGAACAAAATGTCTACAATGTTATGGTCTTTGGGATAACATTTCACAGAACAGTAACCTAAAACTTTAAGGTGACAGTTCCGCTTAGTAATAGGTTGTCATTAAGAAATGTACAGTAAAGTATAAAATACCCCTTTGGGGATAATTTAAAACATTTCTTATAGTAACCATTATTTTCAGTGGTAATGCTTATATTATAAAATAATTTCTCATTATAAATCAGGTTGGCCACCACATTAGTACCTTCTGAAAGCAATTAAAGACAACAGTATTCTGGAGGGCTTTTGGTGAGTGATGAGACATTCACGGTTGATTAATATTCTGTATTACAGTTTTATGGCATTTTTGTTTTATTCAGAACATAAAGAAGCAATTATAATAGCTTCTGATCGATTATGGTTGTTATAAATTTCATAGATGAATAGATGGAGAGAGAAATTAAGGAGGAAGCAAAGATAAGTATTATAGCATTTAACTTACATGCACAAGATCCAAGGTTGAATAGATTCTATATTCACATAGCGTGACTGTGGAAGTGATTTAGGAAAAAATACAGTGGATCAGAAATTGCTCATGCAACGGCATCCCAATCACAATCTTACCTATATCCTATACTTCTAATTAAATAAATCAATTTTAATTTGAGATTTATTCACATAGATTAGCACTTGAAACCTCTATATAAATCTGTGTTCTCTTTTGGGAAGTTATTCCATCTTTGGAGGGGGACTGTATATAAATATCTAGAATTGACTGACGGAGAGCTGTTTAGCTTTATTTCTTTTGTGATGGCTTCTAAGATGAATCTGGTTGGTGATTGGAAATAGGATACTGAACAACATGTTGCAACAAATCTAACTTCAGAGACAAGTTAGAGTTGGAAGTTAGAAATGTGACACAAATCCTTAACATGCACTGTAACTTTCAGAATAAGTGCTCTAAGTTTACGAAAGGCACTGTTTGCATCAGTCAGGAAAATACTTCTGGTTAGCTGGCAGATGGATGTCATTCTGCCTACATAGACTTCATGGATTCTAAATGAATCCTTCTTCCTGACATTTCCTCATCCCCGAAATTGCACAAGAAAACACTCTTGGCTGTGATTGGTTTTGCACTGGTATTGTATTCTTTTTTCTCTCTCCAGTATTATTACTTTAATATATTTGTCATATATAAACTGTAAACAGAGCAGATTGTTACAGTAATAGAAGATCCCAACATTTCTTGTCTTTGTAAAATAAAAACAATAGGTAGAGAAAAGACTAATATCAACAAGTAAAAACTAATGTCAAATGTATAAAATGTTACAAATTATTAAAAGCCTGACAAGGCAGACCAGCAAGAAATTCTGGGAAACACTTTTTTCACTAGACTCCAATCTATCTTTTTTAGTTGTGGGGTGTAAAAAAAGTTTTCTAGGAACTATGTAAATATTAAGAAACTTCTCAGGAAGTTGAAAACTTTTCACATTTCCTGGATGCCAATAATTTTAAGGTTTTGAGGAAACAATCAGCATTCTGAATTGTGCATGAAAACAAGCTACAGAATAAATCAGTGTAATGTCTCAAGATCAGTTTGATGCACTTTGTACTACTAGCAAAAGTCTGATTGCTGCTGCTGTATTATTTTTAAACTATATTCAAGAATAGCTTGTTTCAATCTAAATGCATTATTGAAGTATAGATAATGCATGCCTAAATCCTCCTTCCCTGAGAAGGGATGGAACACTCCAATTCATAGACTCATAGGACTGGAAGTCATCTCGGAGGTCTTCTAGTCCAGCCTCAAGGCAGGAATCTTATACTATCCCAGTCAAATAGTTGTCAAGTCTATTTTTGAAAACCTCCAGGGATGGAGCACCCACAACCCAGGAGGCAAACTATTTTATTGATCCTTCTCTTTGAGAGGCTAGGCATGGCTAGGTCCCTCAATTGTTCATCATACAATTTAGCCTCCAGACCCATTATCATCTTTTCTGCTCTTCTCTGCACAATTTCTAGGGTCTTGATATCTTTTTTGTATTGTGATGACTAGAACTGAACACAGTATACCCAGTATGGTCTCACCAGCGTGGTGTAAAGAGGTACAAACACTTCTCATTGTCTTGATGCTATTTCTCTTGAATGCATTGGCTTTTTTGGCAGCTGCAGCACATTGTTGTTTATACTTAGTAGTAGCCTACAAGGGCACCTAGATTTTTATCACAGTTACTACTGTTGAGCCTATTCTGGACTTTTCTTTCATCTGAACTACATCTTGTTGGATAGGGCCCAATTCTTGAGTCTGTCAAATTCTTCTGAATCTTGAGCCTATCTTTTAAAGTATGAGCTATTTCCCCAGCTTAGTATTTTCACCTATATTCAGGCAATAATTTGGATTTCACTCACCTCCATGTCATTACATGAAAGAAATAGATAGAACTATGTTTTATCAATCTGGATGAAACATAACTCCTAAACTCTAAATGATTTCTCTAGCAGAAAAATTCTCATGGAAGCAAACAAAACTTTAAGAATCTGGGCAATTTTGTCTTGGAAGCAGCCAAATAAATTGAGAAGTGGCATCAAACAGAGCTCAAAGCTTTATGCAAGATGCTGATAACTTGCTGTCTTCTTCTGCAATGTGTGCAATTTCCCCAGACTCTTGTCTTGACCTAGTTACATGGTGAACTGGATTGCCTCCAAGCCAAGACAAAATTTGCTTCAACAGATGTTTATTTGATGTTTTTAATTAAAGAAATGTGGATCTTAAATGTTATAAATAGATTTTCCCCAAATTTGTCAAATGCCATGAAGCAAACCATTTTCATGAATAAGAGTGAAAAAAATGTTCTACCATTTCCTGTGGCTTGAAAATAAGAATGAAACTTTAATGATTTGGTGTTTTACAGGAAAGATTTAAAGGAATGCATACTATAATACTAATAGTGGTGGAATAATTGTCAAAGGAAATGGAAAAACCAACAAAGGAAATGGAAAAACTAACATACCCGGGAGAGAAATTTGCAGTCCTGTAACTTAATAGAATGGGAAACGAACAAAATTTGGAATATAAAATACTGAAGTGCTGAGAAAAACATCTTTTATCAACTTGATCAGGACAATATAAAAAGGACAATGTAAATTCTATCCATTGAACAAATTTACATATGTGTGCATCATTTCCACTTGTTTCTCATGTTTTAGCTGTTCAGAGAAAAGTAAGGTTTAAACATGCAATAAATCCAAATTCTCATTGGACTTCTTTATTATTTCGAGATGGGAAGAATTGCTACCTTAAAAATGATTAAATTAGGCTATAAATTGGATTTGCTGAAGTGCAGATCACAAGCCAAAGGTTTGTGATCAGGTTCTGACTTGTGCTCTGGGCTTCTATGATCTGCCTGACAAACCGTACTCAAGGACGCTTGGCCTTATTTCCATGTGCTCAAAAGCCCGATCGGGCTTATTATCGGGGGATGTCTTATTTTGGGGAAAACAGAGTACCTTTGATGTGCAAAGTGACTACAGCAGAAATAAGGAAGTTCATTGATAAACCAATGCAAATACCACAGTGGCCCTGTCATGCCCAATCAATAGAGAGATGTGTGAAACAGGTCACAGAGGCAGCAAGCAGAGTGTATACACATGAGAACCTTGAAAGTTATATCAGAGGTCAAGAAGCAAGTCAGCGGCTGATGTTGAAGAACAAATCAAAACAAGACTTGAGAAAACTTGCTTAAACATTTTTGTTTTGTAGAAAAAACTTTAATTTTTGTAGCATAATATGCAATATGTAAGTTAACAGTGTTTGGGTTACAAGAGACTTTTGAGGGGTATATGATCAGATGTGGATTTACCATACTAAACTAAACGTTGTGCAATTGCAAGAATAACTGCATATTTGAATTCTTGGTGTAAAAACACATATTTTTAGAACCCCCTCACTGAAAAAATTGCAACAATTAATTTTCACCCCATTAATTGACAACGTCCTATTACACGTGGATAGTGCAACAGTGAAAAAAGATCCTAATACCTGATTTTGAAGCTCAGTCTCCTTCACTTTTTAAGCAATGTCTTCAGACGTGAGATAAACTATGGAATAGTTCCTTGTGAATAAGAAGAAATATTTACCCAACCCCTTTGAACTTGACATTGTCATACACTTTTATCTGTTCAGGAGTTCTAGCCTAATGATGGGAAATATAAGGTATTTAGCTTTTGGCATCCTCTTTCAAAATGTATTCTATATGGTAAAACTTTGGAATGCAGCTTGGTAGTTGCTATTTTCCAATGCCTCTTTGACTTTGTTATAAATATTTCTGGATAGGCTTATATAATTTTCAAATGTGATTCTAATCTTGCGCTAAGATTATCAGACATATGTCTAACTAAGAGCACATTCAGAAGGGCCTGGCAAGAGAAATTTTGCATGGCCCAAGAAAATACATAGTCATCATATCAATCTAAATAAATGTTGTTGGCTATCAGTATTTTAGGTGAATATTTAAAAATCTTTAAAAAGTGGAAGTGAAATAGGTAGTTTTCTCCTTTGTATTAACAATATTCTAAAAAATCTGATACAACACTGAAAACAACTTTTCCATTTCAAAATAGGAAAAAATTCTTCTTTATTAATATGTGAGGTCATCAGAGGTAGATTAGCATTATCTAAATATTTTTACAAGATTTATGGATTTAATGGAAATTGTTGTCTTTCACAACTTTAATTAATAATATAGTTTAATATTTTTCCTTTTTAAAAAATGACCATTTACATATGGCTTCCTCAGAACTATTTTGGTTGTTCCAAGTGTGTTTCTTATTATTTTAATAGAAATATTTTCTATTAAAATATTTTCCAGTCCTGTTGTAAATAAAAGATCTAAGAAGCATATGAATTTAATAGGGGAAAGGACAGTATAACATATTTCAAATATATAAAGAAATTACAAGAGAAAGAACATTACATGGAATCACTGTAACAGGTTGAAGATTACTAATAGGGGTTTATGTTGGCTTAAATGGATTTCAGCCTGAGCTGGACTGTTTTAGTCAAATGGAATTTATGAAGCAATAATATAAACACATACAAAGTATGATTGCTGTCTACTTTGTTGTGGCTTTGATCATGCAGAATAATCTAAAATGCCTGTATTTGTCATTCTGTCTTCCATTTTTTGAATTTTTGAATTTTGCTTTGGTAGCTCCTGAAGTGAATGCAACATCCTCTGATTTAATCTCTTCCTCTCCCCTCCCCTTCTTTTTTGTTTTTTGTTTGTATGGAGACAGTGTTGACTTCTGGCACTTCCCTGGACAAATCCTTGCGATTAGCACAGGAACCCCACAAGATTGTGTGCTCTCCCCACTTCTCTTCTCTCTGTATACCAATGACTGCATCTCTAATGATCCATCTGTTAAACTACTGAAGTTTGCAGATGACACAACAATAATCGGTCTCATTCGAGACAATGATGAATCCGCATACAGACAGGAGATTGAACAACTAGCCTCGTGGTGTGACCGGAACAATCTGGAACTGAACACACTCAAAACTGTAGAAATGGTGGTAGACTTTAGGAGAAATCCTTCTGTACTTCCACCTCTCACAATACTAGACAACACAGTATCAACAGTAGAGACCTTCAAATTTCTAGGTTCTACCATATCGCAAGATCTAAAATGGACAGTTAACATAAAAAACGTCATCAAAAAAGCACAACAAAGAATGTTCTTTCTGCGCCAACTCAGAAAGCTCTAACTGCCCAAGGAGCTGGTGATACAGTTCTACAACCCAACAAGACAGACACAGACTTTAGAGGATAATTAGAACTGCAGAAAAAACAATTGCTACCAACCTGGCTTCCATTGAGGACCTGTATACTGCACAAGTCAAAAAGAGGGCTGTAAAAATATTTACAGACCCCTCAGATCCTGGACATAAACTGTTTCAACTCCTACCATCAAAATGATGCTATAGAGTACTGCACACCAGATCAACTAGACACAAGAACAGTTTTTTCCCGAACGCCATCACTCTACTAAACAAATAATTCCCTCAACACTGACAAACTATTTACTAAGTCTGCACTACTATTAATCTTCTCATCATTCCCACAATCCACCTCCTTCCACTTATGACTGTATGACTGTAATTTTGTTGCTTGTATCCTTACAATTTATATTGATATTGTTTCCTGGTTCCTTTTTTGTACCCTATGACTATAATTAAGTGTTGTACCTTATGATTCTTGATGAATGTATCTTTTCTTTTATGTACACTGAGAGCATATGCACCAAGACAAATTCCTTTTGTGTCCAATCACATTTTGCCAATAAAAAATTCTATTCTATTCAATTATCTTGGCAAAATTCAGAAGTGGTTTACAATTGTCTCCTTTCTAGGACTGAGAGAAAGTGACTGGCCCAAGGTCACCCAGTTGGTTGTTTCTTTAGTTTATTCATTGAGCCTGTGTGGACCATCTCAGCATATGTAATTACATTTTTTCCTATAGTTATCTTCAATATGGAAAACATTTGAATGATAAATTAATGATGAAATTGATGAGCTTTTTATATTCCTTTTGGAATTCTATACTTTTATCAATATTTGTTTGTTAATATGTGTTTTTGAATTTTTATCCTCTTTTGTATCTCTGCACCTAAATATCGGTGAAATTCTTTCCAATATTGATATTCTACAATTCAAAAATTTTATCCACTACCTTATCCAAAACAAAAAACTTGTTTTTGATGCAATTTAAAATTTGAGAGCAAGACTACTTGTTAATTTATCTTTCATAATTCATTTTAATGATTGCAATATATCCTGCTGAATATGATTTTAAATTCCTTCTTTCAAGATCTCTTGATTTTTCAGTTAACCTATGAAGCATAGTCACAAGATGGTTTTCAGTTAACCTATGAAGTATAGTCACAAGATGCACCCACAACAGAAAGTATGTGATCATTCTTCTGATGGTTGTCAGTTAACATGTAGTAGGTTGGATAGAGCCAGGAATTCAGTCTGGTGACAGTTACTGCTGAGACTGTAGTTAAAGTACTTTCCATTAAGGTTGAGGGATGTAATTTCTCTAGGTATCACTTCACAAACATCCATTGGGCCAGTGGGACAATGCTGGACCCCCAGACTGGATCTGACATCCAAGAATAGGAAGAGGACTTTTTTTTCCCACTCCAACATTAAGTAATTTCATTAGATGACAGGGTAATAAGCACAATTTAAATGAAAATTAATTTGAAATATGTTTTTATCAGAAAAGATAAAAAGGTAAAAGAGTTTAAAAAAGCGATTAAAGTGAAGCATGTGTAGCAAAGTAATCAGCATGTTTGTTGCCATGCAAATAATAGTGGCCTTTTCATTTAAAGACAGAGGCCAGAACAAGGGCATCAAGAAACTGGAAAAGAGAATTAACATCCTGAATTGAAGAACTAGAGATTTTGCCAAAGTGACCCACGGTTATGAGCTATGCCAAAAACAATAAGACCCCATTTAAAAATTAAGTGGGCCTTTACAACCCACCATAGGATTGCAGGATCTAAATTGAGGGAATTGGAGCATGAAGTGTCTTGGGGGTAGAGGAGACCTTAGGAAAGTCAGTGCAGGCAGGTCTGGACCTGTACTATCTCCTAAGTGGCCTACCCCACCTAGGAGGTAGCCCACATTCCACTTAATGACGTGCATGTGTTTGTTTTACATTTCATTAGGAGAGCAGGATAGGGAGGTTGTTAGATGACACCTTTCACCTAATGATTAATGCAACAGGTAATCGAAATGAACAGGCTTCATTATGATCATATCTCAAGGACTACATGTACTTATCTATACTCTTATCATTGTCAAAATACAATGGACTGGAGAGTGAAATGTATATATTATTTACAAAAGACAAGAGTTTGATGAAAAGCAGGACCATGAACAGAGATAAAGCTATGAATCCTATGGGGGAGACGAAGAAAATAACCCAAATAAATTAATATGGTATAGGTCAGTGGTCCCCAACCTTTCCAACTTGGTGGTCTGGCCCAGTGAGGGGGGAAGGTCATGAGTGGCAGGCGCACATGCGCACTCTCAATGCATTCCTTGGTGTGAGCGGCAAGTGCACACGCCCTTCACGTGTGCAAATATAGCTTCAACTGCAGGCAGAGGGCTCTAGAGCGGACGACGCGTGTGCTCTCACGCGAAGCTCTATTCGTGCAAATGGAGCTTCACACATGAGTGCCCTCCACTCACATGA